ACTAAACACAAAGAACAACTCTAACAGCAGCAGAATGTGGACGTATTCTTTTTCAGCGGGTAAATACGAGAGCTCTTGAATCTGGAACATTACGAAAGATTCGTGTGCACGCTGATTTTAGTCATGGGTTTCCGAACACGAGCGCATGCAACAAGACGTTTAATATTTTATAACACGCACGCCAGATATCGATCCAGAATACAATAGCTGACGAACCCAAAAACAAACTAATTATGAATCTCAATATTGGTGGTGACATTCGACCGATAGAATTATCTTACAAAACATTAAACGAGTCGCCATATTTACCACCGGGGGAGAGGTGGGGGGTGTGGGGGCAATGTGGAGTGGTGGCAAAGTGGTGAGCGCCCTCCGTTGCGCTACGAAGCCCGCAACACGAGTTCGATTCCCGACCGACGGCCAACATCCGTGGCGAATAATACCTGAACGGGCCCTGCTCTTCACTCGGCACCCTTCGCCAATCCGCACTGGCCAGAGCAGAGTTGGTGAAATGTGCTCGTTTAACCCCCAGGAACCCGCACTGCGTTGGTGTGGAGACCCCTCATTTAGCAGTGGATTGATACCCAGACTGTGCATGTGCATTCTTATGACATATAGATTACCTTGTCCAAATATTTCGGAATTCCTTGAACTTAATTCGCAATTGTATATACTTCACTGATGTGCGTATCAAATTATATACTGTATATACATGACGTTTAAAACAATGCACGCTATATGTCTAAATTATTGCCGTGAGTTCAGGTATGTTTAAGATTATACATATATATGTTTAACACCCGTGAAAATATTTACACATAAGACACAACTTCTAGACAAGTCCTGGGAAGAACAGCCCTTGAAGATAACTCACACGCGAGAGTTTGTGATACTGCTGTTATCCGAACCGGTCATGGGCCTCCCCTAGGTCGCCACCAGTTGAGACAAAGGCGGTCGGGCGTGGTGCTGGCCACCCACCCTCTCGTGTACCGTTCGGACCTTCATAGGTGCTCGCTAACAACACTTGCCCCAACAGTCTATCGCAGGCTATACGGGGGATCTTTGTCTTTGTTGGCAAGTGGTGCACAAGCACAAATAACAACAACAACAACACAACCACGCAGCACATCCTTCACTAACACTGCCCTAACATTCATATACATCTAAAATATAATTATCCACGTGTAGGGCATTGGAACCTTCCTCATAGCACAGAGCCACATATATGTAGACACGCACACACATGTTAGCCGCGAGCTCCGGGGCCGTCTTGCAGGTTGAGTCTCCGTCGAGAAAGAGAATCGTGAAGATTTGAAACCTTCCCGAGGGATGGCGTAGCCGTCGTGACGTCACCGCGGGGTGGTTTTGACGCTCCCCGCGAGCGCCGTCGTCACCGGAGCTCCGGTGATGGCTTTGAGAATCTCTCTCTCGTTTTTTAGGCTTCTCATGAACGGAGATCCCAATGATCGTTGTTACAGCCCCGGACATACAGCCTCTCTACACGTTTCCTACAGGATTAAGGTTGTTTATTGTTGGTGCCCGTGTTGAGTTGTGCACGTGATGTAAACATCTTCTTGGTTCTTTCGGTATAGTCACGTAGAATGGAAGTAATAAAATAATAAAAATGAAACATTTTTTCCATTCTACGTGACTTTACCGAAAGAACCAAGAAGATGAATCCCTGCAGTCACGAAAGCTTTAAATCGAAAAATGATGTAAACATGTAGATAACGTTTGTTTGCCACAGGCACAAAAGGGCCAGAACTCCAAAGCGGCCAGCAACACACAGCACGAGTTAACGTGTAGCAGACACGGTCGTAGTGACGTCTCTTGAATCGAATCGTGTTAATAAGAGGGACTTGGACACGGTTCATGCGCTGCGAGTGAACTCCACAAGTCAGGCAGCGCCAGGGGATCTGCAGTGCGGTGGTTGAACGCGGCCGTGGATGGGGAGAAACAGCAGCCCGGCACGCCGAGTCCTCGACGTGGGCAGATAGATCATGGGGCGAAGTTCATGGGGAAGAGTAAACCGTGATGGTGAAGGAGTTGTAATGGATACGAGCAATGGAACGGACACAAGAAGAGACGCCGCAGATGGAAAGGGGAGGAGATGACGCGAGGCATGTGCGCATTGCGTGTGGCGTTTACATTCCGATTTGTTTTGATTTTCAGATCGGAAGATTGAAGATCCAGCATCGCGCACAAGCAAGGGACGAGACGAATTGACGCACCTTCAAATACTCAAGCCTTCGCAAAACAAATTAATTACAAAGTCCTCGAGGAGTGAGTGAGAGGGGGGGGGGGGTAATCTGCTTTTGTTTATCCGAAGAGCGAACAAGTCCACGAGATGGATCGTGACATAGCATGGTCGTGAGAGAGACTGCGGCGAATTGGGGGATGCCTTCATCCAGCAGTGGATTGAGGATTGCTGATAATGTTGATGATAATTCCACAAGCTGGCAAGAGGGCGTGGGGGGGGGGGGTACTTTGGTTCCACGACTTCTGGCATACATCGACTCGTCTCGTATTGCCGGACCCTCTTTGTCGTGTGCGTGAATTGAGGTCCTTCACGCGGACGATGAGCGCACCTATTCCAAGCAGTAAATGTTGCAGCCACTGTCGATAACAATGCAATAGCATGCACACAGATGCGTGTACAATGGTATTGCATTGATAGCCGTCTTATAATTCAGCAACAACAAAAACGAATTGTTACCAAAGACAAGTTACCAAAAGCATCACACTCAACGTCGCACGTGGTGGCCAAGAGGGGGAAATTCGGCAGCTCACCAAAACCCGAAACATCTCTTCTCTTGCAAGGTAGCCCGCTATCTATAACATTCGCACCTCCGCGTAGCACGGTTGGCTACGTACGGTGGCAAAGAGGTTAAGCACAAACTCGGCTGTGTAGCGGGTAGCTGCGTGGCACCCGCTCGAAGCGCCCTTCATCGTCGCCAAAAAGTCATGGTCATCTTCTTGGTTCTTTTGGTAAAGTCACGTAGAATGGAAATAATAAAATAATAAAAATAAAACATAATAAAATAATTCTCACGACGTTTCGGCCATAACGCAAGCAGCCGTCCTCAGGTGAAGAACAGGTCTGTCAGAAAGAAAGAAAGACAGACCTGTTCTTCACCTGAGGACGGATGCTTGCATTGTGGCCGAAACGTCGTGAGAATTATTTTATTATGTTTTATTTGTATTACTTTATTATTTCCATTCTACGTGACTTTACCGAAAGAACCAAGAAGATGAATCCCTGCAGTCACGAAAGCTTTAAATCGAAATTTAAGTCATGGTCAAGCCACTGCTGGATGAAGTCCTCCCCGAGTGTACTGGGAGACACAGACACAGCCCGCACTAGTTGTGTTTGTGTTGTTATCGCGACATCGCGCAGACGCCGCTCATGCCCCGCGGCGTCGTCTCTTCATTCGCGTCGTGAGAGGAGCCGCGCCACACGGGGAGGGTAGCGCAGTCGCGCCGGGCAGCTCTCGGCGTTGTTCCGAACGATGTCTCCGAACTTTCTCTCTCTCTGTCTCTCTGTCTGTCTCACGGCCTCTGTAGGTGCAACCCCGAGCGTACGTCGCAGAGTCTTGCACGCAAATCGCATGTGAGAACGGCGTCTTTCAATTGCGCTCCAATCGTGGTGAGTCTCACTGGGGGGCGGGGTGGAGACGGGGTCTTGGGTTGGCAGCACGGTCCATCAATCGGGGTGGGGGGGGGTGAGCAGGCACAGAGCCAGAGAGAAAAACGTCGTTTTGATAGGGACGGACAAAACGATAACCAACGTTTGCCCACCTTCCACACCGAGCGGTGCTCAGGTCACACAGCAAGCAAGCAGAGGGTGTGTTTCTCTCCCGTGCTCTGTGTGTGTGTGTACTGTCTCGCGTGGCAGTGGGGGCCTCGGCGTCTGCCAAGGGGCTCCGATGAATGCCCTCGATGCGCAGTCATGAGGAAGAGGGATGAGCAAGAGGGATTGCTGCCTGGACTCCGAACGCATTTCCTTCCAACTCATCCTCCCTCCCCTACACACTCGGCCGGCCTCTCCCCTCCCTGCCACGCGCCGGGTGCCGACTGGCGGCACCACGACACGGACGAGCTCCGCGCCTCGCCGTGTTGTGTTCAGGTCGCGGTTGTCGAGTACGTGCAGACCCAGTACGCCATCACGGCCAGCGACACACGGCACCACCGAAGGTGCAATAGATGCGTCAATGCGTGTGTTGAGCTGGGGAAGATGATACGAATTTGGTGACAGAGACGATGGGGGGATTATAAATGAGAGCACATGCGAGGAAAAGAACAGAGCGAGAAGTGTTGTGACCCAAATTGAAAACTCATTTATTTCGTACTGATGTTTGTGTTCAGTTTGTTGTCCTTCCCCCGCACCTCCGAATTAGCACGGGTGGCTATGTGCGATGCGAAAGAAGTTCTACGACCTCGTGTGGCGAGTAGACACTGTGGATGAGACGTCACAATCCCTCCACACGGGTGGGGAGAGGGAAGATCACGTTGAACGCGAACGAGGGCAGCAGCGACAGACGAGTGGCAGGGAGTCAACTGACCGCCGGGCAGCTATTGACCGGGGTGAACCAGCGAGCGCGGGGTCATCACTCGACTTCTTGACGTTGCACGCGTGCATGTCGACTTCTTTCGCACCGTACGTAGCCAACCGTGATCATCGGAGGTGCCAGGAAACCTGACCGTGGCAGCCTGCCCCATCGAGAAAGCCCCCTCCCCCTAATGAGGCAACACGTGTGCACCTCACGCACGATTTGGAACAGAATGGATACGCCGCCGTCGAAACCCAATATCCATTTTCGCCTATTAGAGAACGCGGCGCAGTTTCGTGAGCCGCCCCTTCCGCGATGGCGCCCTCCTCGACGTCACAACGCTCAGGAGGGAACGCCTCTCGGTGCCGCGATGTGTCACGGAGCGGCCGAGGTCCCTTACAAGTTTGTGTTACCTGATCAAGGAAGTCTTGAGACTGGTGTGTCGATGAGCCTCCACCACGCGGCCCCGCCATGTGTAGTTACGCGATTAAGAGCGGGTTTGTCTTGGGAGTTGGTTCTCCCTCGAAGCAACAAACACACGTGGACATTTCGGCCTTTGCATAATTTGATTGAATTGGTTCAGGGACAGTGTGTATGTGTGTGTATATGTGGCTTGATTGCAGACAATTCTACCTGAGCATTTGCATATGCTTCATTAACCGAGGTGCACGCGATGTGCATTCCAAGTTAACGTAACGCATGACACAGGGAGAGATGTTGGGTCGGTATGTTGGTTAAAAAATAAAATAACATTGCACATCCCATGAAAGTTACGAATACTGGACTGTAACCGTCAGTCAAGGCAACATTTTCACAAATCCGTAATTATGAATATTGTTAAATAAACGCACCATACCATTGGTACAGTGGAATATTATTTGCGAGTATCATTTCAACAATAATAACGAAACCCGAACCTTTCTAACTTTACAAAATCACATGCACACAGATTACTAAAAGATGCAAATATTTATTTTACATTAAAAACAGAAGCATCTACACTAAACCATCGCTTGCATCTATAACCATACATGTCGAATGCGCACTTATTTTTTACAAACATTGACATGGGTTTATGGGGGGCGGGGGACAGGAAGAACACGACACAAAACAACACAAAGATCAGCAAAAAAAAAAACTTGTCCATGGTCTAATGCCCCACACACATAGTCGACCAATGAGTAAATACAAAAATAATATGCATTGTATTCCGATGGAGAAACAAAAACAAAAAGCTCAACTAAGTCCAGACAACAGCACGATGTTGGTTGTTAGTGTGTGACATGTGTTTTTTTTGTTTTGCCGAGATATTTACACGCGCCACGTGGGGTCAAACGCACGCAACATTCGCAGGGCGGCCCCAAACGGTGACTCCTGCGACAAGTGCACGCCCTGACCTGCGCGCCAAGAATTTGAACCACGGATTTAAAAAATAAAAGCGGTCGCAACATTAACCAGACCTCGCTGGAACATTGACGGCCTAAACACTCAACAGGAAGACATGCCATGCCAGCAGCGGAATAGTATCAAGGAAGAATGCGAATTGTAATTACAACCAAAGAAAGATATAAAAAAAAAACACGACACGGCAGCACATGTGAAAGAAAAAAATAACTTGATCAACAATTTACCTTTTTTTTACTTTATCTACAGGGAGCCACCGGCCAGTTATGGGGGGGGGGGTAAGGGGGCCACACCACGGAAGGGTTCGTGTGTGTGTGTAGGGTGGGGGGCAGGGTGAAGCCTTTATTATTACTCGTTGGTCAGCACCGGCCGTAATGGCCCAAAAAAGTGACAGGTCAATTTACTTGTCTTCATGTAAGCTATGGTCAATACGTAATGAGCAAAGAGGCAGCTTTCCCACTTGCATCATCACTGGAATGTCCCCCCCAAACCCCCAAGCCTACCAACCCCAGCCCGACAATCCAGGATTTGACATTGATGGCAGTCCAGCTTGGGCCTCTCCCACCATGGGCATCATCACAAAATGAGGTAGAGTGACATCTCCATCGATACGCTACGAGAAGGGCCTGGCACATCCCAAAAACGAGACCCCCCCCCCCTCCTAACCCTTCCCACCCACGCCCGCCCTTCGCCCACCCCCATCCCAACCGCTTTCATTTACATCTCGGACGGGTTAATGGAAAAAAAAGTGCCAAGCTGTACGATCAGAAATGTGTTTAATAATGTAGAACTGCAAAGGGCAATGGATGCAAGGGGGAAGGGGAGTTTCACGCATTACTCTTTCAATAATAAATTACATTTGTGCGGCATTCTAGAGCGGTAATTTAATACACAATTACACCTCCAAAACATTCACACACAAAGCTCTTAAGCCTCCTCCTGCTGCTGCTGCTGCTGCAAGCTTGCAAGGATATAAAAAGCAAAGGAAATTGAATGGCCTTGTTTGGCGTAAGTTTATGTGGAGAAGACAAATCAATCGGCCAGAAAGCACTGTCAATATGGTTAAAAATTGAGGTAATTTATATCCGTTTATGACTCTCTCTCCCTAAGCCCAATCTATAACCAGCAATAGAATTTCTCAGATGAGTTTACCTATTTAAAAAACGCATACAATTTTTCATTTGCTGGAAGGAAGCGCGCACACATTTTAAGACACGCACCGTATTGGGCAATTTACATGATCTGAAACCCTCATTACGATTCTGGCACCAATCTCTTTGCTAATTATCGACAAGAAGACGCCTAATGTCTGCTAAAGCATTCGATATTCCAAAATTTACATCAAGCGTTTTGACTGCCCGCTTTTGTCGGTGTCATCTAAAGTGTCCCAAGGACATTTTTATGTACCTCATATTTTAAATTAATGTATTGAAACTAATAACCTTGTATTGATGTCCACCGATTGCCGGGTCAGATAAATTAAGCTTGGTTCATCAGGTTTACATTTGTGCTGTTCTTTGCAATATCCTGCATCATTTGTTCAACGAGGAGTACGAGTTCCGTGTACTCGAGGGAGAACTTTTATTCCGCCAAAACAATAAACGCCGTGGGAGTTGTTGTTTTTCACCGTAGAATGAAACAAAATTAAATATACTAACGTGACTTGTCCAAACTCTCACACGTGTATATGAAGGGTTGAATCTCTTCTTTAATTAGATTTTTTTTTTTACTGGATCACATAAAAAAATATCACCAAAAGAGAGCAACACTTAAAAACATTCACTAGGAGTCAGATATACCGCCTATGTAAAATGGGACCCACAAAACAGCTCTTTGTGTAAGAACCACAACGTTATCAAACAAGTTCATTTTTTTTCAGTTTTTTTTCTTCATATTTTTTGATAAACAACAGACAAGTACGTGGTATGCTTGTTCCAATGACCAAGCATGCAATGGTACCGTATTAGGCATAAGACAGGTGTAGAAATAAATGTAATGCAGCTAAGTTACGCTAAATGTTAGGAAATTACAAAATAAGCCACAAATCCAGTTTTTTACGCAGCAATTTTAAGCCTCCTACAGTTGTGGTCTAAACTGCAGTTTCGTCAGCACCGTGGTGCCAAGTCTTCGGGTTACATCAAGTTCTGACTTTTACAGTGACACACACCATAATTGAATGGGCATGCTGTTCAGCGTAGACTGATTACCTAAAAACACTATCAAATTTGATGCATATTATACCTTTTACAAAACTCCTTCAGTAAAGCAGGCATAAAACTAACAAATAACGTACTACATATATTAAGACAAATATTTTAATTAATAAATTACCACCATGTTATATATGTTGGTACTGTTAATTTGTCTGGATAAGGGGGGACGGGCACATGGGAAGAGAGGTGGGGGGGGAGGGTCAAGGGTCAAAGGGCAAGGGTGGGTCGAATGTGCCGAGGCCGAAAATAATCAGAATTCACACACATTCACAAAGGGAGTATAAGAAGTAACCTTCTTAAATATTTACAGTAATTCAAGCCTGGATTTCACAATAGGACTGCTGCCACTTCTGCAGAGACTCGTCAATGAATGTTGCTAATGCCATTCTGAGGAACCAGTTCATGAGCAAGTTACTGGAGTGTTTCCATTGTTTTTGTTTAATATACTTTTTAAAAATCTTATTTTCATTTCTTTAATCGTGACGAGATCTTCTTTTCAGTTGACTCCAAGCTCTTTATTGTCCTCCATAAAGCGGGCAAAGTGATGGTTTTGTTCGTTCTCTACTACGCTGGCCATCTTCTCGGACGCTGGAAGAACGGGACTTTCAGGTGGGCAAGCCTTCTCCATGACGCCAATGACGCCCGCCACCTGGGGGCTTCGGGGGCTCCGACCGCCCCCCACGCCCCCCCCTCCGAGGCTCACGGGGATGGGCGGGATGCCGCCGTTCTGAATGACGGAGATCTCATTGGTCTTCATGGAGAGGCTATTAGTGAAAGCCACGGCATAGCGGTTCCAGAAGGCCGGATCGGAGTTCATGACACGGGCCGCTAGGTCCTTCTGAAAGACCTCTGAGAACTTGAGGGGGTCACCGCCCAAAAGGGCCATGGGGTTTTCCACAGAGAGGCGACGTCCCCGCCTAGCGGGTGCATTGTTCCACATGTGAGTGCCCATGTGCACCTGCAATGTGCGATAGACAAGAATAAACAGCAACAGCTCAGTACCCGCATGCAGTTGACTCGTGACCAATCTCTACAAATAGAAATATGTTTATAATACGATGAACTATGCTTAATATCACAGCGGTGTGCTATCGCTGCAAGTCACATTTTTTTTATTTAGGGAGATAATAAAAATGGGAGAAAAAGAGGCCTCGCTGTTGGGTTAAACTGTGGGTTTTTTTTGCGCTGTTTTTTTTTGTGCGGCGGTTGTGCTGAACACAGCGCTCTCCGATGTGTTTTCAAGTCACCATCGCGTGTTGTCTCGGCACGATGTCCGACGTTTCACTCCATGCGCCCGGGAGCTTCTTCAGGATCTCATATTCTTGTTATGTTACCCGTATTGAATATTCAGTTGCGTTCGTCAATTCCACCAGAAGCTCCCAGAGCGTGCAGCAAAGCGGCAGACGTTGTGGCGATCACCACGCGGTAGAGCCCAATCGCAAATCTTTGTGATGTTTATTATCTATACCACGCGCTGGCCGCTCATTTAACACAGCTCTGTTATGTCCCACGTGCCAATTATTGTCACAGAACAGTGAAATATTGGTATGTAGCAATGTTGGTCTTATATCACGAAAGACAAACAGTGCAAGTTAAGTTATGAAACTGTGACGCATCATCCGTGCGATATTAAGCAAGTTCAACTTCGTTGTGTTTTACCAAGAATAAAAATCACAGCAATCAAAAGAACACACCTGCTAACCTAGCTAATAAAAATGAACTTGTTTGACTTTTTTTTTCTTTCACAAAGGTACAATAACCGGCAGGCACAAACATATGCTCAAGTTGCCACACGATAATTGTTTTCAGGGGAATTGTTTAAATTTAAGCTGTTTGAACACAAGTAGCCTCTTATCCAAACACCATCAAACCAAAACATGTTTTGGGCTGAATCTACACTTAAGGTTTATATCCAGTGGGATCAAACAATAACTGTTTGCGTCAAGAGAGTCAACAGTACCAAAAGCTGTAGGATATTTAATTGTTTTTGCTGGGTATTTGACAGAATAAGCAGAGCACAGTCATTAAAGTAAATTGTACTATTGATAGAGCGCTATTCATGCAAACGTGTTCTGTACACATCGGACGCTACGGCACTTAAAACAAATTCACATTTTACAGCAACGTGGGAAAGCCTTCAGCAACACTTCTAAGTATCTTTAACACACTTAAACACATTATATGTAAGGACATCCTAAGCGTAATACCACTTACGTTTGAATGGATTAATTAAATGCACTAATAATACAAAATCCGAATACATATATAATTCTTTTGTGGTTATAAATATTTGAATTTACCGGAACTTAGTGGCTTTTCTTTTTCACTCTATATGCCAGCAAATCACATTCTTCCCTTACATCCAGTAGCCTGGCCATTTGTTATAGCAGTGCTTACACTTTAGGACGCTCACCTTCAGGTTTCCTTTAGTGGTGAAGGCGCGGCCACAGATGTTGCAAGCAAAGGGTTTCTCTCCCGTGTGGGTCCTCTCGTGGATCTGCAGCGCGCTCGCCGACGAGAACGTCTTCCCACACGTGTGGCAAATGTGCTGCTTGGGCGTGCGCCGCGGTGGCGGCGGGGGCGGCTGCTGCTGGCTCAGGATCGACGGAAGAACGGGCATGGCGCTGAGCGAGGAGCCCACCGGCAAGCTGGCTCGCATCTCCGGGCGCTCGTTGGAGGAAATAAACTTGTTCCCGTCGAGCTCCGGCTTAATAAGGGGCATCACCGTGCCGGGCACCAAGCCAGGCATGTTGGGGTTCGGTCCCACGGCCGGGCCGCCGCTCTCGAACATCTGATTGGGAAAGTCTATCTTGTGGGTCATCATGTGCTGCTTCAGATTGCCCCTGGTCGTGCACCTCCGGTTGCAGACGGAGCAGCTGTAAGGACGTTCTTTGGTGTGGCTACGATAATGGATCTCCAAGGCACTCTGGCACGCAAACATCTTGCCGCAGATATCACAAGTGGTCGTCTTCATCCGTTCACGCTCCCTGCTGGCAAAGAGCAGACTCATTTCTTCCAGTCTCAAGCCCACGGGACCATTATAAGGAGACGTCAGATCAAGCGCACCTCTGTTTTCTGGGTTCATAAACCTGTGATCTATGGGTTCGGTTTTAAAGTGTCCACCGTGCAACTCGTCGTAAGCAGCCTGCTCCGGGGACTTCAATTTGAGCTTATCGGAGTTCATGTTGTTGGGAGAAGGAATCTGCTGCATAGAGGAAGTTGACTCGGACATGGCAGGGCTTCCAACGCTCTGATTTTCCAAGTCGCCCGCAGACATAGAGTCATTTGTCATCTGGTCGGTTTCGCTCGAGCCATGCTCACTGGACTTCAAGCTGGCCTGCAGCTGCTGACTCAAGCCAGAGTCGATCATTTTCATCTGGTTCTCTAGGGCTGCCAAGCTGGACATAGCCGACGGTGGGGGGGACATCTGCTGCTTGTCCTGATCGAGGATATGGTCTGCCTGTGGCATTACAGAGTCAGTGCTTTCGTTTTCCGGAGTTTCATTGTCGTCCATTTCATCGTCCATTTGGTCATCCATCAGCTCATTCGCCATCGACTCCATGCTGTTCTCATCGAACATGCTTCCGTCCGAATCCATGGCTTCGGCGTCGGGCAGCGGAGCGTTGGAGATCTGACCTCCCATGTGCATGCGGATGTGCTGCTGCAGCACGATCGCGTTCGTGAACTTCTTCTGGCAAATGGGGCACGAGTGCTGCACCCTCAGTGGCTGCATGGCGCGGTGGACCCCGAAGTGGGTCTTCAGGTTCCCCTTAGTAGTGAAGGCGCGGCCGCACACCTTGCACTTGAACGGGCGCTCCCCCGTGTGGATGCGGTAGTGCATCTTGAGCGCGCTGTGGCAGCTTAGGATGCGGTGGCAGATACCGCACTCGTTGGGGTCCGTCGGCTTCTTGTCGATGCTCTCCACGAGCTGCTGCAGCTTGGACGTCTCGGACGTCTGCACGTTGTCGGGCAGGCCGCCGAACGGGAACTTGGCCTTCATCGACTCGCTCATCAGCGGGTGCAGCGGGCTCACGTCCGCCAAGTTTTCAAAGTGCAGCAAGTTGGGCGGCGCGCTGTTGGCCGAGCTCTCCGCCGTAGCCGGACCTTCCCGCTCGTCCCGCTGGGCATCCGGCTGGATGTCTTCCGGCTTGGGGTCCGGTTCCGGAGGCCCACAGTCATCCTCCTGCTTCTCTGGTGGCGGCAGCGACGGCGGCGGCGGCGGGCTGCCCGCTTGGTTTGTGGGCGGGTTGCCGGTCGGGGTCGAGCTGCTCTTGGTGGAGCTTGGCGAGAGGGTGGGGCACTCGCTCATGGGGGCAGACAGGGGCTGTGGGGAGCTGTCGTAGAGAGACAGGCTGGAGACGGTCGGAGGGAGGTGGAATCCCGAGGACGATGTCAGAGTCGGGAGAACGGGTTTGCTGTCGAGCCAGGATGTCGCGGGCTTCTCCAGAGGGAGGGACATCCCATATGGAATTCCAGAGCTCGTGGGAACTCGGTCTAGGTGTTCTGGCACCGGGTAGGGATTCATTTGAATGTGGGGGTACTTATCCTTGTGGCGCTGGAAGTGGACCTTGAGGTTGCCCTTCGTGGAGAAGCGGTTGCCGCAGATGTTGCACTTGAACGGCCGCTCGCCCGTGTGGGATCGCAGGTGGATCTGAAGGGCGCTGTCGCTGCCAAACACCTTGGCGCAAAACCTGCACTTGTGCTTGAAGAAGGTTTCTTCGGAGTTGCTTCTGCCGTCGGTCGAGGAGACGTTGGGAGGCTTGCCCTTCTTCTGCTTGGAAAGCGCAGAGAAAGGATCGACGGCTTCCGTGGTGGCGGCGATGCTCGCGAGCGGGTTTGGGAAGATAACGCTGCTGGAAGTGGATGATTGAGGTAAGAGTGGACTGTTCATGTTCGATCCACAGCCGAGCAGGCTGCTGACACTTGTGATGTTGGACGAAATCGGAAGTGGGAGGCTGACAGGTTCGGAGGCCTTTGTGTTGGTGTTAGATGATGAGCTTTCAGGAGCCTGAAGAGTAACTGGAGTAGAGTTAACAGGTGGTGGTTCACTGTTAACAGATGGGATTGGAGTGCTTTGGCTGATTTGAGGTAGTTTCTCTTGTTTCAAGCTGTTCAAACTGTTGTGCTGGCCCAGCACCGGAGCCGAGAGCCTTGGCACCGAGCAAACGGCCGTGATGGGAGGGAGCTGCGCGGGGCAAATTGGGTTGGGCAGCAAGCCGATGCCACGCGGATTAGCCGGCGAGTGGAATGTCGGAAAGAGAGACGAGTGCGGTGCTATCAGCAGAAGCTGACCCCGGATCTGCTCGATGAGCTGAAGCTGGTGGAGCTGCTGCTGCTGCAGCGCCGCGAGCTGCTCCATGATCATGGGCAGCGAGCTGGGGCCCAGCGTCATGTTGCTGCCAAATCCGGGGATGCCAAAGTTGCAGCCGCCAATGCCGCCAATGCCGCCAATGCCGCCAATGCCGCCAATGCCGCCAATGCCGTGGCTGGTGGGTAGCTGCGAGAACTGAGCAACGGCCACCGTGGTGCTCTGCAGCGTCTCCAGCGTGACGTTGGTGTTTGGCATGCTGGTGCCGATGGTGGAAGCGATGGACTTCAAGTGAGGAGGTAGGCTGTTTGCGGTCGTCTCGCTGTTGTTCGAGGTACCTAGATCACTGCAGGATTCTTTTTCTGGAAGCTCTTCATCCATCTCGGGTTCCCCTCCTGGTTCTTCATCGAGCCTCCTCACCTTCGGAGAGGTGGGGCGTTCGGTGTCTTCCGGGGTGCCCGAGTTCTCCTCTCGAACGTCTGGTTCCTCCGCGCCCTCGCCGGGCGAGGCTGCGCTCGGGTAATCCTCCGGAGGGCTTGCCTCTTCGTCCTTGACGATCAAGACGACTCTCTTCTCCAGGCAGCACTTTTTGTGCTGGAGGAAGTCGCAGAGGTCGAAGAATTCAGCACAGCAATGGTCACAAACGAGCCCTCCTCCATTCTGTCCACCTCCTTTATCCTGGTCTTGTTCCGGAGAGCCTGGGATGGAAGAGAGCGCAGGACAACAACAAAATAACTCGTCAGCTCCGAAAAGGCGCACAGAACAGACCCATTACAAACAGATGCACCTCTAATCAGCTACCACTTTCACTTACCGAGCTTGTTTGTGTCAAAAGATCAATTATTTCACAGTGGTCAAATTGCTCCAGTTAAGGCTCTCGCATGTCCCGTGCATGACTCCCTGTCGTTTTCTCTCCCAGAGCTAATCATTCCCTTTGCACTTTTCATCGAATTATGAGCCCACATCAACTGCAGATGTCACAGGCTAATGAAATTCTGCAGACACCATTGATTTCCAATATTTTCATACCGCTCACCGCAGCCTGGCCTGAAAGACACAAATCAAGGCTCCAAGTCATTAAGCGCCACATTTTACCAGCGGCTCTCTTCATTTCCTGATAAATTACGGTTGTCTCAGCAAGTTTACCTGGCAGCCCCAAAGTGACAGCCTTTCAGGGCCTAATCAGCAGTTGATGGTTTTAACGCAGAGTGCCTTCCCCATCCCTGCAGCTTCCAAACAAACTGCATTTGTGACCTCTACCCCCGGATCTGCCACTTCCAATTGTATGGAAGCCCGAATTCACACTTTTGTTGAAACACGTGTTTAGTCTGTAACCGTTCCGAACGATGTTAATTGTGCACCGAGTCAATGACGAAGCTCGCTCAGAAAGTGGGGAAATCAACGTACGACGATGATATCAAAATGATCCCTCGATGGAGGCGTGGGCCGTCGTGCTGTAGTTACGTTGTGGGTTGCAGTGTCTTTAAGTTACTGTGAAAATACCGAACGGCCCGACAGTTTCGACACGTGAGCGCCACGGAATGTAAATCTCGACTACAAAAAAGCATATATTGGAGAAGCGTAAAAAGAGCACACGTGTGCGCTTGCCAAGGCTGTTGTATTAAGGATAGTCACCTGTTATTGAAGGCTCATGCTATTTTTGCGTTTCTTCTTGCTTTCTCATCACGTAAAAAGCTACTCTCATGAGTGTAGTTGTATAAAGATAGAATTTTTACAATAATGAATGCTTATATAAAATATATATATATTTGAATGTGTGCCTCATGCATGCCACAAACACATTTACTATTAAAAAACTAAAAATCACTTAACAATTATTTTCCGTCACTGATATCACCGCAATGGTGATTTGTTGCACAGTTCGAGTAAATGGAATTCATGGAGATAAATCGGCGCGAGATGTAACAACGGCGCCGATTTGTGCGCCATAAAAATGCACGCAGTCTCACAAAAAGACATCTTAATTTTCACATTTTTTGGGCAATGTGGAGATGGGGGTGGGACTATGGTAGTGGGGGTGGGGTGAGGCATGGGGGTTGGAAAACAGAATCAAATCTGCACCTGCTCAAACAAACGACAAGGTCCGGATGAATAAATCAATACAGCCTGTCATTCATCTCCCGGGGCATGCACATCCTCTCCCGTCGTCCAGGGGTACACTGGCCACAGATGTCACAATCCCATGTGTACGGCGGATAGATTTAGCGGCCTGCATTTCCAATCACATATACAACGGAGCTTCGCCTTTCATTCTTCATTAGCTTCCCATCTCCGCGCCGATTCCGACCGAATGTGTGAACGAGGGCCAATCTAAACTCTGCCCACCCCTAAACAGATGACGCAGCCTTGTGCCTGATACCAGCGGCGCGCCTGGAAAGCAACAAAAAAATATAAATTTGGGAAGATTCGCTTCGACCAATGCAAAGTCGCTCGCCGAAGGGTGGACAAACTGAATTGCGTGTAAATTACGTTTTATTTTTGTTCTTGTAATTATCTATTTGTAATTTTACGTTCATGAAAAAATAAGGTACATGCATGGTATTTGACGCAGCAGAAATTCACAATAGGGGGCAGTTGCCACTACCCCCCCCCCCTTTCTGGTTTCGCCTCTGCCCAATACGCCCAGAAACATCTCAACAAATACCCTTGGCACTCATTCGTTTTCAAGATTTGTTAATGTGGTTCTGCCAAAACGATAAATACAAATGATCCCTCTACACATTGCTTCAAGGGTAACCTTTATCTTTTGCAACATGCACTGCGTGTGCACATCGGCTCTTGGTTGATCACCGCCACAGTTTTCCTTCTGTGGGCTTCCAACAACATGCCCGAATATATCTGATGAAACCATGTGTGCGTGTGTGTGTGTGCGCGCGATGTCACTGTTGCTCACAAAACACACCACACGTCTCTCTGGTGGTACAAGGCCAATTGCAAAATAACTATGAGCGGACGGTGTAATGGAGGGAGCCGGTCAAACAGACACAATTTCTTTTTACTTTTGTCAATCGAGGATTATGGCCTATTCACAGTGTCAGTCGGTCATGGAAGGTTGCGGTGGCCATACTTCACCGCGCCGGTTGATGTGGGCTTGTGAAGAAGGATTTCCAGAACCGGTACATATATTACCACTTGCCACTGATGCTAGATGTGACCTGGAATCAAACCGAGATCACTGGATTCATAGTGCAGTTTGTTAACCATAGTTTGCTAACCACTGCACCATCAACCGCCTCTACCCCCACTCCCTCCAACAGCCCACAGTTAATTGTTTACATTTTGCCAAATTCTGCAATGTGGATCCCAGTCATATCTCACGATAACTGAATTTCCAAACAACGCAATCGCAGCTCTCCCGGGGGGCATGGACTGCAACGCATTTAAATATTAAAGTGGCAGATAAAAGCAACGCTAACAATGTCCCATACAAATCCCGGTTTTGTTCCTAAACCTGCAGCTATAATTTTTTTTCCTGGAACAAATTATTGTATCAGATGGTACATCATTACTCGCCCAGAGCCATTCAGCTGTGTCAAAAAAAATTGAAAACCCCGGATCTCTGATGATTCCAGGCTGTTTGGTACGATGGAGAAGTGGGGGTGGGTGGGTGGGTGGGGGGGCACGGGGAGGGGCATCAACCCATGGTGGGCAATGCCTCTGACTCCTGATGTAGTGTTGTGTGCTTATGCTGCCCAGAGGATGAAAGCCGGGCGAGTGTCCGTGCGGTCCAGCTGGCCAGCTTAATCTCCACATTCCCAAGTGCTTGACTCATACCCTTACAAGCCGCCACCCGTGTACATACATTCCTTTAAAAATAAAAAAATTACACAAAAACCATCTTGCTATTGGTTAACAATGCAACAGGAATTATTGTTATTATAGTAGGTATTATAATTATCGTACAGGTATTATTTGGTGAAGATTATAGCAATTGGCAAGAAGCTGGGGTAGAGTGGTGGCGGGGTGGTCAGGCACGCCACTAACATCAGTGCCGAGTGACATCCACAAACCGGTCCCGGCTCCCGGCTCCACTTCATCGCCAATACGCAAACCGACCCGGCGTGGTGAAGTCTGGTCAAGCAACCGCCGCCGCCGCCGCACAGCTGACACACGGCGTTGGGGAGGCAGTCGTCCGGGAGTGGAGCGTATTATAATTATCATTACGTTTGACTGTAAAGACCACTTGCCTGTCTCGCAGGGAGAAACGAAAAATGCGGCTTGGTCTTCAACACAATGAAGAACCGAGTGAATTCCTAATAGAGGCGGCACAGACTGTAATAAGTAACTACTCTGCAAAACTCTTACTTTCAAAGGCGCATCAACCATACATTCAGCCAGCTCGGAAGATCGAGGGGTCATCGCGTTAACTCTGCCTTCTACCATGACGTCTTCCCAACACCGTCTGCGCGCTTCTAACCGTGATGCCAAATTAATTCACCGACAGTGGTAAAGTGTTTACAGGATAGATTACAATGGGCAACATACTCTCCAGTGGTATAGAACACTGAAGCTTCGTGGGAGTGCTTTGCATTCGGTTTGCGGCTGTCGGGTAACTGTTGAGTGTGCAGGAGGTGCAACTGCACCCGAGACCACGTGCCGGAGGCATGGGGATGAAAGGTGGACAGGGGGGCCCCTCCCATTTCATTCATTGCACCAGGGCCCATGCCAACCGCGCTACGCCACTGGTCTGCGGTGACTGAAATTCACCCTAAAACGTGCAACACACAGCAGGCTCTGTGGTAGGTAATGGGTTAAACAACGAAATTGATCAATTAGATACGACTTTTCGGACCGCGCTGCCAATCACCGGGAGTAGCTGCGTGACTGCAAAAATGACTCTGTGAAATCTGTAGTACCTGCAATTATGCTACGACTGTAAAATTAAAACAGGTGTTTGCAGCGGACCGGCGTACTGCCTTGAGTGGTGGCAGAAAGGGAATTCTTGCGAGTACTCCGCGATGCCTTCACACGGCCTTGCGCACGCTGCCCCTACCACTGTGCCTCTCTCTCTCTCCTCTCGACACCCCTCGGCCCCCACTCCACACAATCCACCAGCACTCCGCCCCTTCCCCAACCATCCATCCTCCAACTGCTCATTCATGCAAAAATAAGCTCCCCAAGGGGATATGGCAGCCTGACTGGGCCTCATTTGTTAAGCCAGGAGCTCTCCTCCCCCTAACCACTAGGCTTGATCTTACGTGGCACTTTTGCCAACAGCTCAGATCTGGGTCCACGCAGCTTCTGTATATACGCACTTCCTGACCTCCCACACGCGCACAAACACACGCACACATGTGCGTCCGAGCGCGAGCACGTCAGTGAATGTATATAATGATATTAATTATTGTGATTATACAGTAGGAACAACAATGCCCTTTTTTGTTTATCCAGAACAGCCTCACCGAGTGCCAAGAATCTGTTTTTCAGGAGGGCTTCAGCTACATCCGGACGTTTGACCAATTCCATATTCATGAGTGTTTGGCTTCATACGGGAGGGAAGCGGAGTGTGCGGAGAAAGCCGGCAAAGCATACGATGAGGGGGGTTAACAAATAAACTACGAAAAGATAGATTTGAGAAAAGATTTTTGTACCGTCATCTATTGGACACCTTGCAGGCCAAGCCTATAGCATCTGTGATTCCCAGGTGGTCTCTCAAACAAGTAACTAAGCAAACACA